CCCTCAGGTTATAGCAGCTTAAATTCGGTAGCGCCGCCTGAAAGTATCTCGTAGAGCGGAAACACCTTTCTCTTTGGAAGTACTGCTCGTGATAACTGTTCCCCGGGGTGTGCACACTGTTCTTGTTAAATGCGTATTATTTCCATCGGCCACGAGATCTCGAGGACAAGGATAAGTCGAAGGTATGTATGTGTGAATGTACCGATACGTTTCGTTTCGCTGTTTCTCTCCCCCCCTGATCCGTATTTCGCGATACGACTGGTTAATGTCGCGCCTGATGTAACATTAATTTCATTTAATTCTTGAAACGATATTTTTGAAAGCAACATAATATTTCGAGGATTCGAGGAAATCAAAGTTTGCCTCATTGCCACGTTTTTTTATATTTGAATTCGAACGTGAATTTTTTTAAAAAGTGAATATATAGAATGGAATTAAAAACTGAAATTAAGATATTGTTTATAGCGTTTGTTAGATAAAAGATGATATGCTTTCTATCTCTTCTCGTCTTTGTGTGTCCCTTTGTTGGTATTTCATTTGCGTTGGAATTTCACGCTCTGCCAGCAAAGGTATTGTTGAATAACAGCTTCAGGTAACAAAATATTGTTTACAAACGCGCATGTTCAAAATATTATACGTAATTCAAAGTGAAAAAAAATAAACGTAAAAAGTGATTTGTGTGCTGTTGTTGTTGTACAAGAATATTATTATTACTGTTAATAGTGAAGAAAACGAGGAAGTTAAAAATTTCAGACGCGCTCTAATTATTTATAGAATAAATTTATTCTATCCTATATTTCTTTTATATTTCTATATTTTTGTTTATCTTGTATGTTTTTCAAATGACTTTAATTCCCAAAATTTTAGAATTATTAACACCATAATTGTAAGTAATACATAAAACGAACGATTTGCAATCACACGATTATTTTTTTAGGTGCTGATTAACATGAATTGCATGAACATTATAACTGTGTATATTACATAAATATTAAAACGCGATATAGCACCAGCATTTTAATTCGTAGTTTTTTACGAAACGTTTAATTACGCAAACTTTGATATTTCATCGCGATGCAAATGATTCTGGCGTTATCATCCCCGAGTTACAGCGTTCGCAAAAACGTGCATAATATGATCATTACCATTTGCTTTTAAGTTATTATTTTTGCATTTAAATTCAATGGAATCTCTTATTGAAACTTCCGCGGAAGAAACATCGAGCATCGTTTAATACATTGTATTTGATAACTACGAAATTATACGAATTTTTACACTTTGAAATCACGTAAAAATTAATTTGCGCTTTGTTCAACTTCGTTCTTGCGTTTTTGAATCTTTAATGTAACATTTTATCTCAATCTTTACATCTTTTCTTGCGATTAAAAATCTTCATGAGTCTACGAAAAATTTCTCGTTGTAAATAAACGTTGTAAATCTAAGCATCGAAAGTATATTTTTTCCGATAATTGAACAAATTTTGTAGCAAAAAAAAAAAAAAAATGGATCGAAAAATCGAATGGAAAGAAATTTCTTACAAAAAAGGATCCGTTTCTCTTTGTCAATAACGGAATCAGAATTTGAACGTCTACAAAACACGAATACTAATTGTTTGAAAGTCACTCGTTTCATCGAAGTCTGTGAAATCTGTCCCTTTCCTGTAAAATCAATTAATCAATTTTACGGAAACAGCAATTCGCACGAAATTCTCTAGCTCTTGTTAACCGCTCCGGTTGACCAACGGTGGTCAATCGTTAGTTGCTGTTGAAAGAGGATTCAACGTGTCGTCCCTCTTGTCCCTTTTCGCCGTCAGTTACGTGATCCCGCCATTTCTCTTCTTACTTTCCACAACGAGCTGTGTGCTCCGTACGCGCGCATGTGCAATTCTCACCTTTTCTTTTTTCTCTCTTCGCTTTTCTATTTTTTTTTTTTTTCTTTCTTTTGCCTCTTTTTTGCGACTCGCGCGCCGAAATAGTTTTTCCGTCGGATTTCCTGCAAGCTATCGAAGTTCGAAGAAGTTTCTACTGGAATTCCACGGAATCGACGCGATTACGAGAATTAAGTGATTTCGAGATAAACTTGAACGGAAGCACGAATAAGGAGAGAGATCTTCCGACCACGACGTTGGTATAATTACGTTGAATCGAAATCTCGGATAAAATCCGTGTCCCCTTCGCGACGTATGTTATGTTTCGTGTGGCTCACTCAATTTAAAATATTCTTCATTTTAAAATCAAGTTAGTTAAGAAAGAAGACAAAATTCTGACACTTCTTTAGTACATGATTGATGATATGAAAGAAATAAAGTTCGAAAATGAAGAGTTCTTATTTCAAGAAAATAAAATTCTGACACTTTGTTAATACATGATTGATGATATGAAAAAAGTAAAATTTGAAAATGAAGAGTTCTTATTTCAAGAAAATAAAATTCTGACACTTTGTTAATACATGACTGACGATATGAAAAAAGTAAAGTTTGAAAATGAAGAATTCTTATTTCAAGAAAATGAAATTCTGACTTTTTGATACATGATTGATACATGAAAAAAAGAAACAACAAAAAATTCGAAAATTAGGAATTCCTATCGTAGGAAAATCATATCAGGAGAATGATAAAATGTAGAAAAATTAGGGAATGGAGTGGAAAAATAGCATAAAGTATCTCTGTTAGATTTCATTTGACAGGAGTTGTGGGACTGCTCTTTTTATGTAGTAATCACTCGGCTTTGAATGATTGCATTTTGTTAAAACAAAAAGTTGTCGTCTGTGGTTAATTATCACGTGTCATTATAGGAATCTAGTTTCATTATTTATGTTTATTTATAATTACTAACGTTTGTATTACATTTCTGATCGATAATTTTAAAAAAAAGGGGCTGTGAGAGTTTTTTTAAAAAATGAAAGCAGTTGCGACAGATGTTTTACGTTTGTGACATTCGCATATTTGATGAACGAGTTGTATTATTGAATTTATAGTCTATCTTGTTGTTACTAAAGGTAAAGGAAAAAAAAGAAGGACAATTCGAGAAGAATCATTTGTCTTCACTTGCCTTGAGTATTTCACGAAAACAAAATAAAATTCTAATTACTAATCATTAATCCAGAAATCAGACGAAGAAAATTTATAAATCTGTAAGTATATTGTAATAAATAATTTTTAATTTTGCTGTAGTCGAATTGAAAACAGTTCTGGCTCGCCAATTAAAAATCCTAATTAGACAATCAAGCAATTAAAATTACCATTCTCCCTCAATTATCGTACTTAATTAAAAACACCTTTTTAACCATCAACGAAGCTAGCAAGAATTAATTTTCCTTACAATTCACGTCCTTCCAGCCCTACCCTCGCAAACATCACTCGTACAACAACTTTCAATATTCAATCTTCAAAAAAAATCTCACCCTTTTAATATTGAAACACCGCAAACACAAATCACAATGCCTCAATGAAACATGCTCGACAGAACTAAACTGTCTGAAAATTCCCTCTAAACTTCCTCCGTAATTTCTTCGTAACCAGAAGAATCTAGAGGCACGATCGGTCGAGATTTCGTCGTCTCCGACAAATCCCGTTTTGATCCTCCACCCGGGGAGGATATACGTACTTTGACGATCTCTATCTTCGTGCCGTGTCATATAGAAAACATCCAAACACCGTCCCCATCTGCGATCTGATCGCCAGCGCGGCTTAAATCGCTGCGCTCGTTAATCCATTATTCAGCAAGCGGATCGGAAACTCGCGCGGCTATGCGACGCGGTATCACGGAGCGAGAATGCGTGTAATAATTCGCCGGAATGGCCGGCAGGGGTGCGTGTTGAACGAGGGGTGGGTGGCGGCGGTGGCGACGATCGATTCTCGCGGCGGCGTTGGGAAATCGGCTGACAGCCGAGCAGCGTATCAGTTCAGCGGGCCAGCAGAACGCGGAACGCGTTGTCCCGCGTGCTACTCGCCCGGCGCCTACTACTATGTATGTATGTATGCACAGAGTTGCTGCGTTGCCTATTAATTATCTAAAACTAATTAATCTAGGAGGCTGAGTGTGAACAAGTGGCTGAGAACGGGAGGAAGCCACGGCGTTAGTCGTCGACATGGGTGCTCACCTTTTACAGGGTGCTCTCCCCCAAAATATCAGTCAGAAGCTGTCTCCTCTTACGATCTATGTTTGCTCTTGGCAAATTGGCGATGGAATTTACTTTCAAACTTCCTGCCCTCCGATCCTTCCGGACGATTGGAAAATATCTAATTGACCTACTGGAGAGAAGTCATTTTGTTTAAAATTTGGAATAGTCTGTTTCAATTTTCTTTTTCCTCTTTCATTTTTAGTAGCTTCATCGAAACGGTAATAAATTGGACATAAGCGACGTAACACCGTGGCCCTCGCGAATCTTGGAGAAATGAACATGACCGAAGTATATTATGCGATCAATGCCTCTGCGTTGTCGCAATTTATGTATCAAAATGTACGAAAAGAAACGCGCGCGAGCCGACCGGTTGTTTCTTCGGAAGAAAGTCCCGCTACGAAAACGCGGTCGCAATATATTCAAGTAAGCACAAACTTGCAGTTCACTGTCGAACAACTGAAGAGAAGAAGAAAGAACCAGAGCGGCTCGTCGCGGAAAATGTATATCTACGGTTTTGGGATTGAAAAATTCTGCGGGATGAATTATATGTAGATAGACAGATCTACTTATAATATAATGTATCAAATATATGTACAAAAATGAGAAATGTAAATATACAGGTAGTACGTAAGATATATATTATATATACTGGGCAAGATATACTGTGTTACTGGGACTCAAGAAAACGCATGCACTCTTCAGGGTCTCCGATATGTATATGTATATATATATATATATATAAATAAATGTATGTATAATATATAACTATTTATATACGTGTTCGTGATATAGAGAATATGTGTATGTATAGTAGATCGATGTATATATGAACTTTCTTAAGAGAGATGCGAAGCAACACTGGGATTATGTTTACGTACCGTCTTTACGCTTTATATTCTATGTACTCGGAGGGCGGGGGAGGGAATAATTTCGTCGTGCGAAAAATTGAGGGGATAGGCAAGCGTCGTGCGAAACGCGCGTAAATTCGTTTCACGCGATCGACGACATAGCCGCCGTGTGGGGGGATGGTCGTCTCTGAAACATTCTGAAAATCTTAGTCCCTCTCGGGCCACGAGGCGTCCGGAAACGCGCCGTAACTTTTTTTAACCCCGAGATCGTCGACGATCCTCGAACCCCTACACCGTGATATCTCTTCCGTTTCCGTGTTCGATTCCGTTTTGTTCCGCCGAGTTTGGCCTCTCGAGTTTGGTCTCTCGAAACTTCTCGAAATGGTCTCGCGCGCTTTTCTCCCTTTCGCGTTTATTTTCGTTATTTCTTGCGTTGCCTTCCAACGACTTCGCGAAACAAGGAGCAAAGGTTTTTCCCGGGCGTCGTCGAAAACCTTTTTCTTTTTTTTTTTTCTTTTTCTAATTCGACCGATCCGAGGAACTCGACTGTAGAATATCGACCGAATTCGGCAACGAGCTTTCAAAGTTCCCGAAGGCTTAATCTCCGCGGCCGATCAACCGCGGTGTAATCGCAACTCGAACGTACACCGGATTACACGCCACCGTGTATCGAATCAATTCGATTTTGTCGCTTCCGATCCAATTATGCAGGGAACAAAAGTATCAGTGGACGAAACTTCCAAAACGATCTGATCAATGCCGTTTGTCCACGTTTTCAGACATTTGTTGTTGATTTGTCGTTGAACTTTGACACTCGAATTTCTGTTTGAAATTGTTCTTACGAACTGGCATTTTTACTTTCACTCGCTAAACTCGCAGAAGTTTGTAGGATTTTTTGGATTATTTATGAAGTAATTAGAAAATACAGAGAACACAAGAACGACACTTTATGATCCAACTTTTAATATTGAATATGATGCGAAACGACAATGCTATTGTTTAGAACATTACTTTCGTTCTATAGAAGTGAAATTTTAAAGTGAGTATAATCTTAATTTTCTATTTAGTTGTTTTTCTATTTAATTGAATTTCTTCATTATTTAACTGAATACAATTGTGTTTTCATATTTGAGCTTCACTCGGTATCTATTGATAGTATTGATAAAAGAATTTTAATGATACAGTAAAAATAAAAATATATTAAGAACACATTGATGATATGTTTTTCTAAAACATTACTTTCGTGCCGCAGAGATGAAACTTTAAAGTCTATAATAATTAAATTCTTAAATATTTTCATATTTGCATTTTCGTATTTCACTAATTGTATCTATAAGATAAGAGAATTTTAATAATACCAACAATAAACAATGGTTCAATAATTTAATCGGAAAAGATTGTTTCTTAATAAATAAAAAAGGCTATGATGAAATACATATTATAATAAATATGTATGGTATTATAATAATCACGTATATTGTAATACTATTATATCATAATAAAATTTATTACGTTCCGATATCATATCAGAAGTAGAATTTATTTAAAAAATACACAAACTTAACTTTTCCAAGGAAAATCGACAACAAGATTCCAAGTATAAAAATTTGATTGTACACCTTGAAATCTATTTTACAACAAAAGTAGAAGAGAAGAAAAGAAACTTTGAAAGTTAACAGTATCGAGGATGAATAAATTTGCAAATTTGTTTTCGTTTCTTCAAAGGAAATCAACAACAAAGTCTTTTGCTTGCGCAAAAATTTGATCGGCTACTCCATTCTTTTTTCCGTTGCTACAAAAACAATGTTTTTCTTTTTATAATCGCAAATCGGCACGGAACACGGTGATTATCTATCTTTACGGTTTGAATGCAAATGGTCGAGCAAATATTAATTCGCGGTGTATGACTAGAACGCGATAAAATCGAACGATTCATGATACACGATACGCTGAAAATACGTTTATTTTTATCCGGGTGTGCAATTTTTTCCCCTTTTTCTTTTTCTTTTTTTTTTTTTTTACGTGTTACGATCGCGGGTTACGAGTGTCACAGCAATTCGAATCCCTTAGACAGAGCTCGCGATTAAATTCACGCCGGGATTCCTTTAAACTCGCGTTTCACCAAGCTTTAGCTTTTAATTTCACTGACGAGGTAACGAAGTTCGTCGCGTATCGAAAAATTCTCGCTCCTCCGTTTTCCTTTTTTCATTTTCACTTTCGTTTTCCTTGCTCTCTTTCTTGATACGCGGATCATTCCGACGGATCGTAGAAAAAATGTTCAACGAAACAAGCGTAGCCCCCGTTCGTCGATTCGAATTTCCCGGTGTGTTTCGCGGAGAGAGGCCGGAGGTATATTTTTAACGAAGAGAAAATTCGTTGGAAATTTTTACTTTGCTCGCGAGATAATTAGATTCGCCGATCGGTTCATCGTGGGGGACCAAATTACCTATGCAAATGCGACAAGCTTGTGTTACCTGTTGTACATGAGGATGTCTGGCTTCCAAAGCTTGTTCGGCGTAATTCGAAGGTCCTTCACGCCTCCGTACTCGGATTCGTTCCATTGAAGATTGTAGTCCATCCATTCCTGAAACAGCGGATAATTATGTCGTAAGTGAACGATATTAACAGCCGCGTATATACGATCTATGAATATTATTTGTATGTTGCACAGGTAGCGACAAAAATGATATACGATACGAACGAACATGATTTTTTTTTTTTTGATTATCCAGTAGACTGAGATACTGAGCATTGAAAAAATAAAACTCGAGCAGAGATGTATTTCAATCGCTAAATTTAACATAGTTAAAGCATTCTGTTCTATATATTTTTTTAACATTTTTAACTTTTTATATTATTTTAATATTGAACTCTATTAATATTTGAATTATTAAATAATATTAATTTACAATTAAATTATAATTTGATATTAATATTAATTTAATGTATAATTAAATAATATTGATAAACTCCATTAATATTAAAAATAACACTCGAGCAGAGATATATTTCAACATAGTATATATTTTAACATAGTTAAAGCATTCTGTATATTTTTTAAATATTTTTAATTTTTTATATTTTTTAAATATTTTATTTTACGTATTTTTCTAATATTATAAAATTTTGCTATTTTAAATTTTCTATCGATGCGTAAAAATCCGTGGTCTAACTATGAAAATGTTAAAAAGATGCCCTTCGATTAATTATGAAAGTCTTACTCATTTATCTCCATAATTTCGTATCGCTCTTCACGATATTATTCTACATCTATTCCGGTATCTTATTAAATAATATATATAAAATATAAATAATAAATAATATATAATATAAAATAAGGGTATCTTATTAAATAAATTTTGTCCTTATTAAATAAATGTTTGGTAGTATCGTGTAACTTGATAATGTGAAAAGAGTATTATTTGTATTATTATTATTATTGTATTGTTGTTCTTTTGATTAAGAAAATAATTATGTTTAATTATGTTTAAAAACTACTTTTAAGTATACTCTTTATACTTATACTCTTAATACTTCTTTATAACATACTATATTAATTTAAAAAAAAAAGCAGTAAGTACTGAACAATATAATCAACCTTTATCAGAATTAAACGGTATCTTCGATAATTTCCGAGATATTTAACGAAATATAATAATGTAATATATAACAAAATATAATATATATATAATATATAATAAAATATAATTTAACAAAATATAATATTCCCCCAACTTTGAGGGTAATTTTCACCCATCATTAACCATTGCTTATAAAAAAAAAAAAAAAAAAAAATGGATCGAATATTTTTTTTAAAAACTACGTTCATGACAAATTTCATCAAAATCGGCGATTCGGGGTTCGGTATGCTCTCTTGCAAGAAGAATATCAATTTTCCATAGTCCCGCGGAGGATAATGAAGCACCGGAAGAGCCACGGGAACTTCGTTCGGACGTTCGGACGAAATCGGTGAAATTAATTAATCCTTAGTTAAGGCGGGGAAAATTAATTATTCGCGGAGACATTTTTCTTCAAAGCGAGAGCTGTATAAAAGGCTTAACGCGGAACGAACTCGAGCGTGACCAAATCAAATTCCACGAGAAAGCGACCGAGTATCGATCGCCAGCTATGCCGGTGGAATTCGTCGAATCTGTCTCGGGGATGAAACACCGGATGGCACACCTTTCATCTCCCTCTGTTTCACATCGTGGCTCGTGAGTGGTTCGCGAAATGGCTAGAGTGCTGGCACCGGCGACATCCACGAGGCATTAGACTCAAGGAGATAAATTCCCTCTAAAGAGCTAAATTTGCTCTAAAATCAGCGTTGATGAATTACGGTCGAACGACAAGACGCTCGGGTAATTGTTGTTTCGCTCTTGGAAATAACGTAGCGGCTTAGAGCCGTTGAATAGAGCATTTTAAATGCAGATTATGCGAACACTCTCTTTGTTCCTTTCGTTTTGCCGCGTTTTTGGTGAAAGAGCGAATTGAACCACGAAATGTAAATAAAAATAACGCGATGGTATTGAGATTTTAATAATGGAAACCTGACTTTAATTGGATTGCTTCGTTCGTGTGTAAGCTCGTTGAGGGAAAAATATGCTTCGAGCTCTTAATTTCTGATGTAAAAATTGCATAAAAGTCGATTCACAATTCGCGATGCTAAAGCTCGTGCAGATTCATAGTACTTGCGAGTCTATTTTCTTCGTAATTGTTACCATTTGCGAATTTATTTTGTGCGAGTTTGAATAAAAATTGCTTAATTAAATTTTGAAACACAACAGAACTTCCATCGGTAAATGTAATGTTGGTAATGTGCAGAGTGATTCTGCAGTCTTAAATTACTTGAAATTCATTTTACGTTTTAAAATTTTTTTTTTTCATACAAAGTAATAATCAATTTCACGTCATTTTTCTTTTTTCTTGACATACAAACGCTATTTTGAGTTCCTTTTAAATATAGTAACATTATACATTACAATTCACCATGTACAGTCTTTTCGATTCGTTACAATCATTAATTATATTATACTGAAAAGAAAAAAAGCAATTTTTCTATGTGATGAGAAAGTTTGAAACTAATATCCAACTGCTATACCTAGACATATTGTTCTGTGATTATCTAACAATGCATTAATAGGGTAAAACATACGTTTGTAGATATTTATAAAATATTATACAAACACATGAGCGTATTTAATTTTGATTTACATGTAGGTTATAGGACGATTAATGGGGTTAATATTTCGCGGTTTTATATGCACATAAAATGGGTTAAATTATTATGATTTAATTTTACGGGATTTCGCACAAGAAACGCTCTTATTATACAGAAAATGAGAGCGGGCGAGAAACGAGCATAACCCATTGGTA